CCAGTTTGGCCATTGCGTGAGTGTGGGTGCCAGGATAGCTGTCAGTGGTCTGACTGAACCCCTTGTTGACTAGGAAAATGGGGACTTCTCTGCAAGGGCTGAGGTTTCGTGGGTTGCGGTATCTTTCCTTATTCATCTTTCAGATCTCATCTTCACCTCCCAAGGAAGTCCCCTACGCTCAGTTATTTTTAATTTACAGCTGTATCCTCCTCCCCTTCCCTTTATTCTAACATGCTCTGTTCTTATCAATTTAATGTCTGCATTCCTGCTGGCCTCTCTGCTCTGGGAATAGAGAAATCGTGTATCTTCCTCATCAACATGTTTCTAGTGCCTTGCATGTTGAAATTTTAAATTGAAAACTTCTCTCCCTTCTTCCCTTCCATCACCTCTCCCTTCCCCTGAAGCGCCATTTCCCTTTGAAATGGCAGACTCAGAAGCAGGCCAGAGACCTCCCTCACTCTGTCTCTCTGGCCAAAGCCCCAGGTGAGATCTCTGTTGTGAGGAGCAGCGGCCACGGGACGTGGCACTCAGAGGGGATGATGTGACCCTTGCTCTTTGACATACTCAGGTAACACAGGTGTCAGCCAGGTCCTCACTTCCTGTCCTTCTGACAGGCAAATGACACTGGCTCAAACTTCCATTCTTTGTGGAGCAGGACCTCTCTCCCCACCAGCCAAGCTGCCAGTCTCAGTAGGGATTCTTGAAAGTCAGACATGTCACCAGGTCACTCAGGCTGTGAGTTTTGCTTGCAATGAATCCTGGATCTTTCATCTGGCAGCTTGCCAATGGCCCCTTCTCACTATCCCATATCTCTCCAGAGAGACTCAGCTTCTCTACCTTATGTCCCTGATAGCACTCATTCGAGGCCATTACATTTCTTATTAAAGATTCTGGGTGTGGGGGCCCCTGGTTGGCTCAGTCAGTAGAGCGTATGACTCTTGACCTCAGGGTCATGAGTTCAAGCCCTATGTTGGGAGTAGAGCCTACTTAAAAAAAAAAAAAAGATTCAGAGTATAAGTGTGGGGGTTACATCAGAGAATAGCACATTGGATAAAATAGACTGTCAGACATGATTAGTCTTTTTTTAAGTTTATTTATTTATTTATTTATTTTGAGAGACAGCACACGCATGAGCAGGGGAGGGGCAGGGAGAGAAGGAGAGAGAGAGAAGGAATCCCAGGCAGGCTCTGTAGTGTGAGATCACAGCCTGAGCTGGATGCTTAACTGACTGAGCCACCCAGATGCCCTGAGACATTATTAGTCTTAAAGCCTTCAGGTGTCCCCTCTCCTGGGGCCCCGTCTTTAACTGGGATTGTTCACTGGTCTTCTCTTCTGTTGGCTCCAGACTCAACTCCTTCCTGGGTCCCTTTGTTCCCCTTCACCTCCCTCCTCGTCACCCTGGCTCACCTACTCCTCCCAAAATAATCCCATCTTCTTCTTCCTCTTATTTTCCATCTTCTCCTCCTCTTCCTCCTCCTTTTTCTTCTTCTAGTTCAAGCAGCATTTCTTTTTATCTTTTGAGGATTTTTTTCAGTTTTATCAAGGTGTAATTGAAGTACATTAAACATCACAAAAAGTGTGTGAGTCTCTGTTTTGACATACATACACCCATGAAACCATGACCTCTCAAACATTTCCATCATTCTAACGGTTTCCTTGTGCTCTTTGGCCAGTTTCATCCACTCCTCCATGCATCACAACCCCAAGCAACTGTTGAGCTGCTTTCTCGGTATATAGATTAACTTGTATTTTCTAGAGTTTAGTATAAATGGAATCAAGCATCATATTCTCTCACTTTTTTGCCAGGCTTCTTTCATTTGGTGTGATGATTTCAAGATTCTTCAATCTTGTGTGTATTAACAGTTTGTCTTTATGGCTGAGTAGTATTCCATTGTATGGATATGCCACTATTTGTTTATCTATTCACCTACTGGTGGATTTGGGTTGTTTGTGATTTGGGGCTATAACAAACTCCTAGAACATTCACTACACATCTTTGGGTTTCATGCTCTCATTTCTCTTTGGTAAATACCTAAGTGGAGTGGTTTGGTGATCCGGTAGGTGAGTGTTGAATTTTTTAGGAAACTGCCTAACTGATTTCCAAAGTGGTTACACTGCCTTGCATTCCCACCATCAGTATCTGAGAGTTTCAGTTGCTCCATACCTCACCAACATGTGGTGTGCCGGTTGCTTTCAATTTAGTCATGTTAATGTGGTTTTGTTAGTTTGTTTCAACACCCAGGGGTTTAGCTCCCTCTTGGCTTCATTTCTACTAAGGGGGAGCATATGCTTCCATTAACAGAGAATAAAACCAGGTTATGCCTCTTGTGCCAGTAAAGTTGGCAGTGCCCCTCTTACCCTCCCATGTGACCTGGTTTGTATTATAAAATATGTAGTTTCTCTGCTTCTAATCCCACTGGCCGTGCCCCCAGGCTCTTCCAGGCATTCTGCTCAACAAAGACTGTTCCTTCCTCTACAAGGGATTTTCCTGCTTTTCTTGAACATGTTTTTCCTTATCACAACAGGATTTCAGGAGGAAAGGAATGGCATAATGTAGTTTAGTACTGGGGTTGGGGAGTAGGGTGGCAAGTGAAGGGGATAGACGGAGGGAGTAAGATTAGGTCCTGATGACATCATTTGAGCTGGATGCAGCCATTCTTGACATAAGCTCTCTTCCTTAGTTTTAGCACATAAGAACCTGGAAATCCCTCCCTCCCTTCTTTTCGTCTAAGCTAGTGTGACTGGGATTTCTGTCACTTGCAATTAAGTCGTGACCCGTATACACAGTAGGGGAATGTGCCTCAGAAAGGCAATAGCATTTTGCCAAGCCCTGGCTGCCTCTTACTTCACATCTGAAGTACTTCGTGCCTTCCCTGAGAGCTGAGAGTTACTGTTTTTGCTGACCTAGCCCTGGGAAATTTAAAGCAGGAACATTGGTCACAATGGTTGGGACGAAACTTCAGAGCACACCAAATGCCCAGGGTCAAATTATTCAAAACCATCACCACATGGTTTGTTTAATCAAATACTCTAGCTCCATGTATCTGCTGTACTTCAGCAGGTTCTTTAATCGTTAACTGAGTTGTCATTTAGTGGTTATGATCCAAGGACTGTTCTGAATTTTGGTAAGCAATCTTCATTTCCAAGCAGCATTTCCTGTCTCTTTAATGACTAGATTTAATACTTATAGAAACATATCGATATATACTCAGAGCGCTATACGTGCCAAAGAGCAACCCTATTAAGTGTTGTGTGCGAACATATCTCTGAATAATCGGTGGTGCGTGACCTCTCCTAGCAGCAGGAGTTACTAGCATTGTTTGAGGACATCTCTGTGATCGCAGCGCAAAGGCAATACTCCAGTGAAAGAAAAGAGGAGGCCAGAAGTGGGGGGCAGAAGTAAAAAAGATCCCATTCAGTCCCCTCTGGGAACGTTCTCAGACTTGACCGCAGAGCTGAGCGAGACCCTTGACACGCAGGGGTGCCCCGCCCCCCCCACAACTTGGAGTGCCCGGACCTTAAGCCACGCCCCAAAGATGATCTAAACTCAGACTGGTGGCCTGGTAGTATTTGCGCCCATGGGCGCCTTCTCTTCTTTCGGGCTCCTCCTGCGGAAAAGCAGCTCGGCAGGTCTCGCCTCGGTCAAGACCAAACACTCTTCACCTCACACATATAGCCTTAAGTCTTTGGTAGTATCTCCACTCAGGAGCTGCAGGCCCCAGGGCAGGCTCCTCAGGACCCGACACTGCTGCAGCGATATCGGCCCCGCCCATTCAGTCCCTAAGTCCCGCCTCCGCGCCTCCGTGGCCCGCCCCCTTCCGCCATGGCCCCGCCCCTGCGCTCCTGCATTCCATCTCCACGCCCACGCGCTCGGGGCCCTCCCCCCGCGCAGCAGGGCCCCGCCTCTCAGATTTGCCGGCCCCGCACTCCACCCTCTCGCGTTCTGGCCCCGCCCCCGCGCTCCGTGGCCCCGCCCCCGCACTCCAGGGCCCCGCCCCAACGCTCTCTGGTTCCGCTCTCCCGGGCTCTGGTCTGGCGCTCGGCCCCGCCTCCACGTTCCCTCTGGAGTCCCCGGAGGAGTTGCCGCGCGGGGGGAGGCGTGGCCGTGGTGCCGGCGGAGGCGCGGGCCGAGCCGCCAGGACTTTGGCTTTGACACGGACGGCGAACTGGAGCCGTGGCTTTGGTACTCGGCACCGACGCGGTCCTGGCGGATCCCGCGTCCGAGTCGGGCGCAGGACTTTTTGCTTCCATCAACGCAACTGCGGCGACGCCGCAAGTCCTGGTGCAGCCTCGGCGGCCGGATTTCACCGCCGCTGCCGCCTCCGCGCAGCCCTGCAGCTCTTGCTGGCTCTGGGAGAGCGACTCTAAGAGTTTCTCCCGCAGAAAGAGCCGGGACGCGCGGCTCGAGGCGGCCCAGCCACTGACCCACACCTGCGCGGGCACCAGAACTGGAGGCTGGGGGCCCGCGCAGTCCCGGGTTGAGCTCAGGCTTCCGAGCCGCAGGTGGAAGGACGCCCCGGGGGAGCAGCGGAGAGGTGGGGCGCGGGGACTGGCGGCGGGTCTGGTGGGGGTCCGTAAACCCCTTCTTGGTGCCTATACTAGTGAGGACGGGATTCCCAAGTTGCAGGTGGTGCTGAATGTCCGGCGGCGGGGTGGGCGTGGGAGATACACCCTCTCTGCTGCCCGAGCCCTGGTAGGGGCGACCTAAGGGGGGATGGTGGTGAGAGGAGAGTAGAGGCAGGGATCAGAGGTGTGGGCTGATGAGGATAGGTCTCTTTCCAAGAGAAGAAGCTCATAGCCTTTTTGGACCCGAATGTGATTAAAACCAGACCTCTTCAGAGGGAAATCCATATGGGCCAGCCTCGCTGTGTGTTCAGGGGTTCACGGACAGCCATTAGCCTGAGACTCCTGGTTAAGAACTCCTGCTCTAGGTAGGGAATGCTAATGCAAACTGATTAACTGATCCAATCGATTTGTGTGTTTATTAATTTGTTTTCCAGGTGGCCAAGTGAAAGGTACTTTTGGACACCCTGGGCATGGAGATTTAGTGTTTGTCTTTGGTAACCGTTTCATTCCCTGCATCGTGCACCTTCCCTCCTTCTGTGCCTGTAAGGTTTGTTGGGCTTCCTCCCTAGCCAGAGAGTTCTTCTGCGGTGGTGAGGCCTCCCTGGGCCACTGATCCTGGCCGGCATGGGGAGCACCCTGGGCTGCCACCGCTCCATACCGCGGGACCCCTCGGATCTATCCCATAGCCGCAAGTTCAGCGCGGCCTGCAACTTCAGCAACATCCTGGTGAATCAGGAGCGGCTCAACATCAACACGGCCACAGAGGAGGAGCTGATGACCCTGCCTGGTGTGACGCGTGCGGTGGCACGCAGCATCGTGGAGTACCGCGAGTACATTGGTGGCTTCAAAAAGGTGGAGGACCTGGCGCTGGTCAGCGGCGTGGGTGCCACCAAACTGGAGCAGGTCAAGTTTGAGATCTGCGTGAGCAGCAAGGGCAGCTCCGCGCAGCACTCTCCCAGTTCTCTGCGGCGGGACCTGCTGGCCGAGCAGCAGCCTCACCACCTCGCCACCACTGTGCCCCTCACCCCACGGGTCAACATCAACACGGCCACCCCTGCTCAGCTCATGAGCATACGAGGCCTCACGGAGAAGATGGCTGTGAACATCGTGGACTACCGCCGTGAGCATGGGCCCTTCCGCAGCGTTGAGGACCTGGTGAGGATGGGCGGTATCAACGCCGCCTTCCTCGACAGGATCCGGCACCAGGTGTTCGCGGAGCGGTCCAGGCCCCCCTCGACCCACACCAATGGGGGCCTGACCTTCACCGCCAAGCCTCACCCCAGCCCAACCTCGCTGAGCCTGCAGAGTGAGGACCTGGACCTCCCGCCAGGGGGGCCCACCCAGATTATCTCCACTCGTCCTTCCGTGGAGGCCTTTGGAGGCACAAGGGATGGGCGGCCGGTGCTGAGGCTGGCCACCTGGAACTTGCAGGGCTGCTCAGTGGAGAAGGCCAACAACCCCGGGGTGCGAGAAGTGGTGTGCATGACACTCCTGGAAAACAGGTGAGGACAGGAACCATGGAGGGGGTGGGGTGTGAAGACAGTTCTTGCGTGGCCTCATCTGTACACGCAAATGAGTGGACTTTTGGGGGGTAGGGAGAGGGCAAGATTATTTAATCAGTGTTCTTGAGGCCCCAGCCAACATTGTCACCTGCAGCTGAGCTCTCTCTCCTGCTCCAGAATTTTCTGAATACAGCTATCTGGGCTTGTGGCCCATGTCTTAAACTTGGCGTATCTGAGATCAATTCATAATTTTGGGGTAAGTGGAGATTGTGTTGGTGTTATTGTTCTGGAAAATGTTGTTGGACTTAGAGGACTTCATGGGGTTTACACCAGATCAGACACTCAGAACCTGGGAAGCGTTGCACAGTTTTGCATATGAGAAAGAGCTAGTTGGGATTTTTTTAAAAATGAGACACAAAGTCACTTTTGTTTCACCAAATATGCCTATTTGTGTGCACAAAATCAACTTAAAGGCCAGGTATTTGCAAACACATACACGCTATATATTCACCAAAATGCTGTGAATGAATCACTCCTCATTCTTTTTCCTTATTTAGCCTGAAGTTGGTGTTCAGGCCCACAACTGCAACCCCAAATGTATGTAACCTCTCCTGTCCCATAGCCAGGAAAGGTCAGGCTGACCTGTGGTGACTGTTGGCCAGATTTTCCCATTTTGAACCACAGGAGAAGAGACTTGTAGGATGGGCTCTTATCGCAGCGTGTTTACATTATTCACAACACTGCTTTCTGTAGGAGCTTCCATTAACCCCCTGTAAAACAAAACAATATTATTGTAGCAGTAACTCCTGCTGTTAGTAAAACAGTGTGGTGTATAATGTAATCAGCTTGGGGAAGGAAAGAAATATCTTTAATGGTCTCTTCTTGGCCAGAAATCCTCTGGTCCTGGTGTTGAGGGATTACGCCCTGCCACCCACCAGACAGACATGTAGTGTGTCTGTGGCCACTAGCTACTTTCCTTTGCACTGGATTGTTGGTGAGCCTGAGAGTTCAGTGGCAGCAGTTTAGTGATGCGAAGTGAGTTCTCAGCGGGCAATCACAGTGCATTGTGGCAGAGCATCAGGATAAATGAGTGAGGAGAAAACCAGGTCACACCGTTTCCCTGGCACTGTCCCCGTGGCACACTCTGATCACAGGACTGAGGGATCACGCACCAGGTCAGAGAACTGGACCGGGAGAGCTCCCCCCAGCACTCTGCCTGCGCTGCTGTGTCCTCTGTTTTGCACTGTAACTCACTCCTTTTGCAAAATCATCTTGTTCACAGGTGAGAACTGAACTTGATGCTGGGTGATATTTATCAGGAATGGCTTGATAGTTGTTTCTCTTCATCCATAGCAACTTGGGTGCATGTATGGGAAAGGGGAAGGGAGGGTAAAGGATGGATGGCTGTTTAAGTCTTATCCTCAGTTTTCTTTTTTTTCTTTTAAATTTTTTTTTTAACGTTTATTCATTTTTGCGACAGAGAGAAACAGAGCATGAACGGGGGAAGGTCAGAGAGCGAGGGAGACACAGAATCTGAAACAGGCTCCAGGCTCTGAGCTGTCAGCACAGAGCCTGACGCGGGGCTCGAACTCACGGACCGCGAGATCATGACCTGAGCCGAAGTCGGACGCCCAACCGACTGAGCCACCCAGGCGCCCCTCCTCAGTTTTGGGGGGATGAATCAAGATCTGAAATTGCCCAGGGGGAGTGACAGATCGGGCAGCTCTTGTCCATTTACTGTGACAGTGGTTTTTAAAGTGTGCTGTCTGGACCAGCATCAGCGTCAGCTACTGACTCAGAAACTCTGGGTTTCGGTGTGTTCACGCATCCTCCTGGTGGTTCCGATGCTCACTGAAGTTTGAGTCCCATTGTGATCAGCTGCCCCCTGGTTTAGTCTGTAAAGCACCACCTCCCCCTTACTGGCTTTTCTGACAAGGCCAGTGAATCCATGCAGAGCCTTCCAGGTATTATGTTTTCTTGGATTGTTCTGATCATCCCTATAGTTGTCCAACGTACGATGTTCTTTCTGGCCAGAGTTAAAGGGCTTATTCCGCTTTTAGAACAGGTGAATGTGAAGGCTAGAAAATGGGAGAGAGAGCAGGGGACAGCTGGCCTCAGGGAGGGCTCTGCTCTGCAGTGTGGACCTGGGTCAGCCCGGGAAAGCGCTAGCAAGTCGAATCCAGCATGGGGTTAGGGTTTGTCCTAGAAGGATGATGATTTGTTGAAGACATTTAATTGTTGTCCTCAAGTGAGAGTGCTAGAGCTTACCCAGACCTAGTAGGGTGTAGAAGTAGCCAGGGCGGTGACCTAGGTCCTCATCACATATCTCACATTTGGCCCCCTGTGTTGTCCTGTGTCTTGGTTTCTTTTGCATGTTCACAATGTGTTCGGAGCGTTCTCGGCACTCGTACCACCTTGTTAGCATCTGGTAAACATATAGTAGTGGGCTTAGGGCTTGATCCCCTGTAGAGCTGGAGTGGATCCATTTGCCTGTGTGGCTGTCCTAGGGTACCAAAAGATGGCTGGCTGTTCCGGAGTGGCTCACATGTCCTCAGAACAGCAGTGCACATTCTCCAAGGGCTGTGTGTTCATCCTGATTCACAGAAATCTCTCACCATCCAATTGATGCCTTCATTAGCAAGAGGAAATACATTTAGTGTGGGCAAGAATGGATGCAGGAGATTTTCTAGGTGATTCTTATTTTCACACCTGTGTGTGTGTGTGTGTGTGTGTGTGTGTGTGTGTGTGTATGTGTATACATATATATACATACATATATATAACACAAGTATTCTGGCTATGTCTTCATAGTGTCTAACGCTTCCATATTCATTTCATTTCCCCGTTAACCTTGGATGTAGGTAATGCTTGCTTTTAGCAATGATTCTCCATCTCTGTGTGAGGAAACTAAAACCAAAGAAGTTAAATGACTTGCCTCCATCCCATAGCTCATTAGTGACTCGGCTGGGACTAGGACCCAGACCTTCTGACTTCAGTCCCGTGCTCTTTGCAAGCGTGCTGTGTTTTGTAAGCAAGCCACGTTGATCCTACCTCTTGTTCAGGCATCCCGCCCTCTGCCCAATCAGGGGCACTTGCTGATTTGTGTGCTAGTCACATTTAAGAAAATAAGTCCATTGTAAGGGCATTTAAAAAACCCACGGCTCCACCTTTTTCGGTGTAAAATTGGTGAAATTCCTTAACATTTCCAAGCCTCAGTTTTTCCATCTGTTAAATGTAGCTAATGAAAGAAAAAAAAAAAGAACCCTTGAAAAAACATAAGAAAAAAATACTTCTTTTGCAAAGAGAATAACTAACTGGCTCTTCGTTTTCCTTTCTGTGGGTTTGCTTTAGCAGGTGTGTTTTCTTAGGCCAAAGGGTACCTGTGTGGGACCCTAAAGAGTTAGAGTCCCTTTTTGCCTTGAGATGCTACTGCTGGGTGGACAAGAATGTGTGAGTAATAAGAAACCGTGTTTTGCAGGAAACTGAGGTAGGACAGCCGAAAACTAGATAATCATCCAGTCACCAGTAGCCTTCAGGGACATCACCCTATGGCACAGAACAGATGGGTTTCATCAGATTCCTTTGCCAAATCTCAGTCTTGGGCAATGTTTTCCCTTGTTCAGTGTTTATGGAGCAAGGCAGAAAGAGGAATACTTTTGCTAAACATCCTTACAAAATCTGGTGGCAGCCCACATATGGAATGAAGATTAATTTTTAATTTTTGGTTTTTGCTGAGTAGTTGTCCTATTTTGAAAAGTCCCTTTGGTTTGTGAAAGTATAAGCCCTGGAGGCGCTGACTTTGGTAATCTCCAAAAAAAAAAATTAATAAATAAAGAGATTTAATATCCCACTGCACACTGGGGCGCCTGGGTGGCTCATGTGTTTGAGTGTTTGACTTCAGCTCAGGTCATGATCTCAAGGTCTGGGGGGTTGAGCCCCACGTCAGGCTCTGGGCTGACAGCTCAGAGCCTGGAGCCTGCTTTGGATTCTGGGTCTCCCTCTGTCTCTTTGCCCCTCCCCCACTTGTGCACACATGCATGCTCTCTCTCCGTCTCTCTGTCTCTCTCTCTCTCTCTCTCTCTCTCTCAAAGAAGAAATAAACATTAAGAAAATATCCCACTTGCACATTCTCCCCATGGCCTCTATCAGAAAGGAACATGTCAAAGTCTTCGGCCTTATAATGGTCTCAGTCTGTTTTCTTGCTACATGTCTGTCTGCAGTATCCAAGCACAAGGTGAATTAGTGCCTGGCAACATGTACTGATTGTGAGAAATGGGATTTTAGTTGATCTGACTTGATTAGTAAGATCAATATAGACACAAGCCATCTTGTCATTTGATTCATTCATTGAAAAATACGTATTGAGTAGCTGCTGTGTACATGCATATGCTAAATCCAGGAATCAGCCTGGCCTATTATTTAACACAGTTAAGTAAATGTGAATCAGCTTGTGCGGCTCAGCCTCAGAATAGTCTGAGAAACCCAGATTTTGGGGGGAAAGTGACTGAATGTGATTGATTTCTGGTCATATTTTTCCTGTATGAATAATGGGCTGATCCTGGGAGATTGAAGGGTGGGGAGATGCAGCCGGACGTAACGTCTGGGGCAAAATGCCCAGCAGTCCTCTTGCAGTAGAAATTAGGAGAACTGTTTTGACTATGGAAACCGAGGTTCAGAGAGATTAAATAGCGTCTGTGTGGCCTTCAGAAATGTTGATCGGAGTCAGGATTTGAAGCCAGGCGTTTGTCTGATTTTCGAGTGGGGAGTGTGAGTGTCTCTTCCCAAACACCATGTCCTTTCACTGACCCCTGGCACACCTGCTTTTTCCTCTCCGTCTTGGGTCTTAGGCTGGCCAGGCATCAGGGCTTCACCTAGACTCCTAGGACCATGTCAAGCCTCCCGAGGCCTCTGCTCCCTTCCTGTTTTTGTTCCTCTGAAGGACAGGGCTTATGGCCAGAGGTAGAGCAATTCGGAGGGCGTCAGGGCCTCTCCACCCGGCC